GTGGGGGGAAAACAAAGACAGACTCCCTGTGGACTCAGGTAATAGACTGTCTCTCCAAATGACCATCAGAGTTCACTTCACATCGCGATGATTGCAGGTGAAGGATCGGCGAGTGAAAGATGGAGCTCTTATTCAGATTGAAATGTCACTCGGTAAAGGACATATGCTAATTCGTGTGTTCTGGGCGTTTAGTAAGTGCTATTTAAAACTGCTTCATGCTGGGCTTTGTGTTGTCGAGCTCAGACGTAACTGCTCAGTCACAACAAAGATGAAAAAACAAGACAGAGTCTCAGAGGAGATGGGGATCGCTTAGGTCGCTTAGTCACAGTTTGGGATATTTCAAGGAGTTCTCATGTTGCTCTGAAGTATCAACTTTTCAGATGTCTCTGATAAAATTACTTAGGGAAATATCAAAATAGACACAGATCAGAGACCATTGTTGACATGCAGTAAGAGTATACGGGTAAAAGTAATGTGGGAAGGATTGTGTTTTGGGAGAATAAGATGAGAAAAGGTCAATGTCATGACATAAATGTTCATGTTTGCGTTAATGTAAGAGGAGGCTCTGAACTGCTGGAGGGTTTACCAGAATTTGTCAAAAACTAAAGACCTTGAGTGACTTCAACAGATTAACCACTGTAAGACACAAAACAAAGCTTAGATGTAAAGGTGTTATAAATTTTTCTGTACAATATGTTAAATTGTTCTCTGATATCTAACTATAAGAAATGTGACTTTGATAAAGAAATAGCCTGAAGCATTTTTACAGGACCATTTCCAACCCTAGGAAGTGGCTCTAATAAGATATGACTTGTTTTGACTATATTAGGAATGGTCATGAATATTAAAGAGGCCTGCTTTGACGCTCTCTTCCTGACAATTACACATGTATTATGCACTAATGTATTTGATAACACGGATACAAATGAATATCAACCGCTGTATAATCAGGTGAATTGTATTAACATTATTTCACTCCAGAAAATCAAAGGAGGACCTTAGTAATATGACGTGATGCATAAACGTGCTTTGAACACTTATATTCAGCAATCTACATGTGTCTGCTGCCCCATTACAAACATGCACGTTTGTTGCCTCATTAAAGACTTACATTGCAAATTTCACAATATACACCTTAAACTAAGAAAAATATACATCAATGTTTCTTCAGTTTAGTTACTATAGACCCTATAAAACAACCAGCGGAATAAGGCAAATTTCCAGACCAATGGAACCCTAATATTCCCATTTTGTGTCACGTTACTTAAATAGCAAATTTATTTGCATCGCTTTGTGGACTCATGGGTGTGCCAGTCTATGGGTTTGTTAAGGCGCATTGTTGGCACGTTGCTATTTTAAGGAACTAAAATAGACTTTGCAATTGACCAGCTGAAAACTGGTCCATAGTCCAGCACAGAGTGTTTTATGCCGAGTTCAGACTGCATGATTTTAGCCCCGACTTTAACTCGCTGAGAGGTTTTGAGAAATCGCCAACAAATGTCTGAAATCACAGGCAAATCGGTGCTCATGCATGTGAGTGACAACCACACAGAATGAAATATATGTATAAGATATAAGACGCAATCTGAGAGAATTGCTGATGTATCGCCAATACCTGTGAGATATTTGGCATTCTAAAAATCTGGAGCTGTTGGCGATTCAAATCATGTCATGTGAAATGAATTGACTGAAAATAACATTGGCGATCGCCTACAACCAATGAGTGAGCAGCATTCACTTGTGTGTGGTAGTACCTGCAGGTCAGCGGGAGGTTGGGGGAGTAAAAGTGCTCATTTTCAGTTTATTTGGACTTAAAAATGGAGGAAAAACTAGTGGAAGTTTGCCAGGAGAACCCGTTTCTGTTTGACGTTTCATACAGAAAGTTAAAAAAGAAAGTTTAGGAGAAATTGCTAATTCCCTTCAAACCCAGGTGAGCAATTATGCACATGTTCTAGCCCATTAAAGGCTTCTTTCTCATTATGTAGATAATAACAAAATATATACTGCGTGTTTTTGGCTGTGAGACGTAGTTTGGACGAAGTTGTCTGCGATTAAATAAAGTCATAAAGTCATGCAATGTGAAAGCCCCTATCGCCGATCCATCTTGTAGTGTAAACAAAGCAGAGACAAAACGCTAGCCCAGATAGTCAAGCTGTGTGAAAACATCTGTGACACGACTACTTTGAAAATCATGCAGTCTGACATTGCCATTAGGTGTGCACTTTAAACGCATACACATTGCTTAATACACACATGAAGGAAAGCAATTAGCAAATGGCTTTACATCTGATAAAAAAAAATTAAAGGATTAAAATATTACTAAAAATATTATTTTCTACATAAATATAAAAACCACTGCCTTCATGCCTTAATCTCGGTGGGCTTTTTCAGTTTATTCATGACAATTATCTTTTGTATAATTGTATTATTAGTGGTATTATATGCAGTTTTATATTTGTTTTAATAAAAACAAGTTTCTATTTGTCCACCTGTCAGGTTTTGGAGACATATGCATCACCATATGGATCATAAGAATATGACGTGTTTGAATATAACTCAGTTTTTTGACCAAACTTTGCTATTATTGTTCACTTATCCAGTAGTTGGAAAATTAAAGATGAATCTAGAAATAGTTTTGAAACAAATCTTTGCACTTAGGATTATGATTTGATTGCGTACAACACTGTTTCCTCATCCACAAAAGTAAAGGAGTAAAGTAAAGAATAAAAGTAAAGTAAAGGGAAAAGCAAAGAAGCTGAATGGAGGAGGGTCATTCTTTATCCTCTGCTGCAGATGGAACGGTTTTCTCGCTAGTGAACCATTCCATTTTTCCACTTACAAAGTCAGCCATGTAAATAATACGCCATGGCACGATGCATCTGACTCTTAAACCGAATGGGAGATGAGACTCTTATTGGTTTAGTGCACATTATGCTCAAAACACATCCATAACTCATTAAGAGAATAATCACAACCCTGTTAGACCATGTGTCAGGGCGTAGAGCGTATTTTTCCATCCTTAAAATAGCAAAAGTGGATTCGGACATCCCCTTAATGCTTTTGCAGCATGCACTTTGGACTTTGCGCCTAGATCAATAAAATAGAATCCTTAGTGTCAATTACATGATAACATTTTGCCTGGTTAAATTAATCAATGTATTATTGAAATGATAAATAAAGTCTATCGTGATCATATCTTTAATTTTAAAATCACAATCTATGTTTTTTTTTTTTGTGATCTTAAAAATTGAATACATTTCTCAAAAATAAAGTAATTTGACCTCTTTAGGACAATTGTGTATATATATTTATAACTTAATATGCATGTTACACTGTTACAGTAATTGCACAATTTCCACACTTATTATAAACATACGGTAGGCTTGTGCCATTTGTACTTATTTGTTACCAAACATTATGTGTATAGTTAGACAATATTAACCTTCCTTGAAATAGTTTGTACTGTACATAAACCTACATGAACATAAAATACATCTTAAACTGTTTGTTTATATACTTATTTAGAGGTTTAGTTGTTAATAACCCCATACTATCTCAAACAATATCTGCATGTTATTGTAACTTTAAAATAATAACCAGAAATACATTTAGAATGACAAAATCAATGTTAAACATAACGCTGCAACTGATTTTTAACTAAATTGTGCCAGACATTTCATGCTGTGGCGTGTTCATTTTGGTTCATTTTAGATTCTATCTGTCTGTCTCACCGAAGAGTGAATCCTTGACAGTCAGTCAGCAGGTGGAGTGACATTTGATATGGACTGTTCCATGTTAGTGATCTAATGTGAGTTAGAGAATTTTCAGAAGACACACGCCATCTTCTATCACATGTCTACTTGTGCACATGTCCACATGTAGCCCATCCACCCCAAAATGTGCTGTGTTACCGTGGAGCTCACCATATGATAAAATGAAAACGACACAGCTTAAATACCCCCATGATCCACACTCCTCAACAGAAAAGAGGACCCTAGTGCCCCCTGCTAGCATGCAGGTGTGTGAATCATGTGGTATGATTGTGAATTTAAAAGTCTGGATTAAAGCTCAAGAGAGAGACAGGCAGAAAAAAAGACAAGGGATAATTTTACATTTTGACAAGCACATGCTTCACACACTCCTTGGTTTTTTTATGTAATCTCAACTTTGTTCAAGAGTAACAGAACATCTTTTCACCATGTAGTGTCCACAGCCAGTTAAATAGCATAGTTAGTCTGCACTAGGTTAAGAGTTAGAGGGCTAGTTCACCCAAAAGTGAAAAAAAAAATAATAATAATAAATAAACAATAATAATAGTAGTAGTAATACTAATAATAATAATAATAATAATAATAATAATAATAAGTACTGTCAGTTTACTCATGCTGAATGTGTTTAATATGTTTTATTTATTTCTTTTTCAGTACAACATTAATGAATATATATATATATATTTTTTTTTAGATAGAACCATGGTCGTTATTTGGCGAGTCATAAAATCAATCAGTGGCTAGTACATTTTTACGGTCAAAAATAAAAACATATTCTGTATAAACAAACTTAGGACATCTGATGAAAGATTGAAGTTGTGCCTACGAGAGTGTAATGTATTGGTTTAGGTGAGGATTGAACCTTCAAAACCTTTTCATTTTTTTATACTGCTAGTCTGACTTAAATAAATTAGTGTTTAGTTGTGAGAATGCAAATGAATTCAAACTGTGAAGTTGATCAACAGTATATTCTCCATGCAGCACATAAGTGCCATTATGAGGGCATTAATGGGCACAAGTAACAAGTAATCGATAAAACAATTGAGTTACTTTTTCATTAAAGTAACTAGTAATTGTAACTACTGTAGTTACTATTTTTCAGTAACTAGCAAAACACTAGCTAGCAAATGAAATGTTTATTGATGCATAGTGCATTTAAAAAAAGAAGAGTTTAGTACAGTTTGTTTGTTCTTAATATGTATCTTAATAGTTTGTATTGTTTCTTTTTAGGTGAAGACTTTTATGAGCCATCTCCTTATGAACCCATGACGCCTCACCGACATTCAGATGCATTTCGCCTGGCGTCAATCATCTCAGGTAAAGCAGCATTTTCAATACAGTTTATTTGTATTATGTGTTCATTCTGGGAATGTACTGTTAATAATATCTCCTTTTAATTCCACTATTGTATTTGAAACTCAGAAAAGCAAGCACTACATGAATAATTATAATGTTCCAATACACACCACACTAATTAAAGACTAAAGTATTCATCCTAAAGTTTTCTATTTACAAATTACCAGCATTGTAGAAGGAGAAATGAAGATGAATTGCTAACTTTCCTTTCTAGGAAAAAGAGAAGCATGGATAAGTGGTTATTTCACTGGAATAAAAACCATTCTAGACATTTGTCACCTTGGCATGAGTTAAGTCTAATGTTTAATTCACTGACAGCAGTCATTACAGACGGTAGAGGACAGAAACATTGCCTCCAATCCATTATCACAGCCTCGCAGAGCCTGGAACAACTAGAATAACTCATTTTTATTCTGATCCAAAAGAGCGAAATAGCCAGTGAACGACAAATCTCATGAAAGTAGTGCATTCAGAGGGGTTGTCAGATCCATCTTCTTGCCATTTATTTATTTATTTTTTTGCATAATACAATTTTTGTGTCTTGAAAGGCCTGCTGTGAGTAGCAGCTGAGGTTTGAAGTTTGCATATTTTCTTTCTTTCTTTACGCTAAAGAAAAACAGAGCAGCCGGGAAATGTGGAAACACAAACAGCCTCCATTAGCTGGTCTTGTAAACATTAAGTGATTGTGTCATTTTTTGAGAGGTGAGTTAAGTAGGATTTAATGTCTGTGTTGCATAATTTTATGTTTTGTTATGGCTATTACATCTTCGGTTGATTAAATATGACAACATAAAAGGAGAAAATTAGTTTGGGATAAACTGAAGGGATAGTTCACCCAAAAGTGAACGTTCATTTATCATTTGTTCACATTCTTGTGTTTTCAAATAGTTTTTGGATTGACCAACAACAAATAGGCATCAGGCATTTTTTTGTTTTTTTTTTGCTTACAAGAGTTCACTTAGCTGATGATTGATTATAAGGCCTATTTAGCATGCTGACCTGGGAGAGAGCCCTGAGCTTATAAAATTTTCAAGCCTGGGGCTCCCACCCATTTGCAGGGCCAAATGGGAGTTTGAGCTCAGGTTGCTCTCGAAAACTCACCTGCTTAGTCATGGCTAATGACAAATTAGGGGTTGGTATGGAAAGATATACTCCTGGCAATTTGGTTTGGTCAATTCACCTGTTGCATGTCTTTGGACTGTGGGAGGAAGCTGGAGTACTAGGGTAAACCCAGGCGAGTATAGGGAGAACATGTAAACTCTGCACAGACACATTGACTGGCCTAGTGAGGACTTGAACCAGTGACATTCTTGCTGTGAGGCAACAGTGTTAACCACTGGGCCGCCATGCCACACTATCAAGGAAAAGGGAGGAGGATTAGCGGTGGAATGGGGGATTTTTTTAAGATAAAGGTAACAGAAGTAGGATTGTGGTTATTTACAGTTAGTTAAGAATCATCCAATTGGTGAATCATATGCGGCATCAGTCGTGGTCAATCATAAGCATTGGATCCTCTCGAAAATAGTTTATAAATAAACTTCACTTAAAAATCCACCACATTCTTATCCTATTGTTTTTAGCCTATTATTATTTTATAGGTCAATCATCTTTAAAGCCAACATGCTAAAGCATTTAAAACGTGTTATAACTTGAAATGGCTGCATAGCAGGATGTCATGGGGTGCTACTTTTCACACCTCTTTCTCTTTCTTTACACTGAACATTTATTTTATTACTTTAATAAAATTAAGCCTAGCCTACCAAAAAAAAAAAACAACTGTGTTAAAATGCTAGCCTTCTGAATTGCCGCCACTGCTAAAATTAAACCTGACCTCAAATATCTGATTGGTATGATCACACCATATGAGCTGCTGGATGCAGATTTGGTTTATAATATAGTTGTACATAGTCAACAAACAAGTTTAGAATAAAACATTTATATTCTCTATATGCAATATTTGGTTGTGCCACTCACAGAGTTATGCACTGCATGATTTTAGCCCCGAATTTGACTCGGCAACAGGTTTTGAGAAATTGGCGACAAATGCCTGAAATCACAGGCAAATCGGTGCACTATCAAAGACGCAATCTGAGAGAATGAGTTGCGATACCCGTGAGATATTTGGCATGCTAAATAGATAGATCTGTCTGTGATTTTAAATCATGCTGTGTGAAAAGTGTTCTGATTGAAAATAACATCGGCAACGACCTACAACCAATAAGAGAGCAGCATCCACTAGTATGGGTATCCGCAGGCCAGCGGGAGGCTGGGGTAGAAGTGCTTAATATGTATTAAAAGCGCTTATTTTCGGTCTATTTAGACCCAAGAAATGGAGGAACAACTTGTGTAAATTTGTCTGGCACACCTGTGTCTGTTTGACAAGTCAACTGAGCAATAGCATAGCTGGCTCGAAAAAGAAAAAAAGTTTGAGAGAAATTGCTACTTCCCTTTAAAGCCAGGTGAGCAAAATACGTACATTTTCTACTCCACTAAAGATCTCTTTCTCATTATGTAGTTAATAGATAAAAGATATATTAAGTGACTTTGCTTTGTTTCCATATCAATATTCTTTCTATATATGTCATGCAGTGTGAAATCTCCTGTCTTTAATCCATCTTGCAGTGTAAACACAGCACTGACGGAACGCTACACCAGATGGTCATACAGTGTAAAAACATCCATGACACAACTACTTTGAAAATCATGCAGTCTGAACTCGGCATTAGGTGTAACACGTTTCACAGTAACGCATTACTGTATTCTAATTACATTTTTTGGGGAGCACAATGTAACAAATTACATTTTCAATTGATGTAGTTTGATTACAGTTACTAAAGTCAGTGTAATTGCGTTAGTTACTTTACAAATATACTTTTTAGAAAAAAAAAATGTTTCTTTTAAATACCATATTCTGCTGCAACGTCAGTTAATAAGCATGCACTTTTAAATTGCTGGAAAACGTGAGGTGAAATGATTGCTGTTGAGAGTGCTTGCTTCTTCAAGTACGGACATTACTTTGATTTATTAAGGGTATAAACAAAAATATTGCTGTGAAAAAAAATATGTTTGTGCAGGATTGGAAGTGAAGGTATCTTCTGAATGTAAAAAGAAGTGTAGCCACTTATGGGGCCATTCACATATCACATCTTTCGCACACGCAGGTTTGTTATTTCCAATGGAGGTGTGCGGCTTTGGCAGATACAGTTGGAGTTAGAATTATTAGCCAGCCCCTCAATGATTAGCCCTCCTGTTTATTTTTTCCCCAATTTCTTTTTAATGAAGAGAAGATTTTTTTAACAAATTTCTAAACATTATAGTTTTAATAACTCATCTTTATTAACTGATTTATTTTATCTTTGCCATGATGACAATAAATGATATTTTGTCACCTTGGAATTATAAGGTTCTATCTGCTTTCTGAATGATTTCAAGATATTGAGCTTCAAAGTTTTTCATTCCATTGCAGACAGTATATGTGTAACATTATTTTTATGTATTAATTCATTATTATTTTTTTTAAATGTCTTAAAATGTAAACAACTTAAAAAAATTCTCATAATGTAAACAAGTTGTCATTTAATAAGATTATGTCAATAACTCAATTTTGCCAAAAAATGTCAGATACAACCTTATAATTCAAAGATGACGATTTTACTAGATTGTTTTCTAGACACTTCTATACAGCTTAAAGTGACATTTAACGATTTAACTAGGTTAAATGGGTTAACTATGCAGGTAAGGGTAATAAGGCAAGTTATTGTATAATGATGGTTTGTTCCATAGACTATCAAATAAAAAATAGCTTAAAGGGGCTTTTAATTTTGACCTTAAAATGTTTTGTAAAAAAATTAATTAAAACATGCGCATGCAAAATAAAACAAATAAGACTTTCTTCAGAAGAAAAAAAATATTAAAAGACTTTAAAAAGAAAATTTATTTGCTCTGTTAAACTTCATTTGGGAAATATTTTAAAAAGAAAAATAAATTCATTTGTAAAGAATGTTGTGCATGCTTGCATTTTCTAGGCGCACCAGTTAAAAACAGTGCGTCACACGACAAGTAGCTTCAACAGCTTCATACTTTGTAAGGAATATAGACATTTCAGTAGACTATTAACCTTAGACAAACAAAGAAACCCACATACGGAAGTGCTTTTTCATGCTATGGATGTCAGTGGTTACTGGTATCCAGTTTTCTTCATAGTGTAAAAAAAAAAATGTTTATAAGTCTTTTGAATATGTCAAGCTGCTGTGATCAACTAATTGCAATGTTTTTTTTTTTTTCAGTGATTATTAAATCACTGAAAGAAATGCAGTTTATTTTTATTGTTTATAGGTATATGTAATGTTTTAAATGTAACTTCAAAAGTAAAGTAATTAGTAATCTGATTACTTTTTGCATAAAGTAATTAGAAATGTAATCAGATTACAACTTTCTAGCAGTAGTCAGTAATTTGACTTACCCAACACTGGCCACTCGTCATTGTGCATGCAGCTTGCACATACTAACAAACACTATAAGTAAAATTATAAGAAAATAAAGGCTTCATTGTATCCTATATATACCAAATTGACTTTTTTTTTTTTTTTTTGTTTCACCAGAAGTGTTAAGAGTGGCCATATTAGGGGCCATTCACACAAAATGCATTTTTTATTTTATTGCTCTATTTTTCCATATTTGTTTAATGTTAATGCAATTGATAGATAGTATTATGCATTTGATGTTATGCTCTTGTCTCATTTTTTGCAGCACCTACAGTAACACATTAGCGCCTGATATGTCAAGTTAAAATAATTACTTTTACGTTCAGCCCCGTTCATCAATGTCAGTTCCAAAGCAGTAGACCAACCAATCGTAGGGCAAGCGTTGCTGCAGTTTTATTTGAAGGCGACATTGCAGAGGAGACACTCATTGGCTATGTCTGAAAACAGTGACTGCGTTTGTAAAGGCACACAAAGGCA